GTATTGCATAGATAGGTATAACATTTGAGTACTGAATAAGCCAAATTCAAGTCTTCATGATCTCACACACATAACCTGTTTACTGTACAAACGCAAAATGATTGTTTTATAAATTATGCATTCATATGTGCTTCATTTTCACTGGAGGAAACAGCTGTGGTGTGATGAATGCAGTGAAAACGCGTTAGCGGTCGGTAACTCTGGTGTAATTTGAACGGGAGCGGGCGGTTCCCGACGTCCATTTAGAACAGCATATCTGCTTTATTCTTATTGACCATCGGTACAGCTTGCGCTCAGGACTGTTATGCACTCATGCTTTAAACGTCACGCGTTTTATTTGCGGGGTTTGTGTGCAGCATGTGCATAACGATGCTCAGAGCAGGCTGTACCTGTGGTAAATATACGGCCCTCAGACAGAACAGGCAGGTTATCGATGAGTGACAGAGCAGAATAAGGATGGAGCAAAGTGTGGATGCGCTGTCCTTAAAGGTTTTGTTTATATTTTGCTTTGCCTATAATTTTAAATGAACGATATTAGTAATATTTATTTATTTTTCTCTGCGACACTTTTCCTACTGTGTTAACAGAAAAATGTCAAACGAATTTAGTATTTCGACAAGACGAATAAAAATAGCTAATAGGCTATTTTTGTACAACCTACAGTTTTATTTTTTTTCCTCTGCCACACTTTTTCCTATTGTGTTGTAAATGTTAAACGAATTGTATCCTGACAAGACGAATAAAAATAAGAAATACAATTTTTGTACAACATTTTTATTTTCTCTTTCACTTTCTTTCCTACTGTGTTGCATAAAATATTAAACGAATTGTGTGTCTTAAGATAATATAAATTCAAGTCAAAGTCAATAAATTCAAGACTCTTGACAAGACGAATAACATAACATACAATTTTGTGCAGACTACACTTTTATTTGTCAGCCTATCTCTCTTTATAGAGACTATAGCCCCCCTAAAAATGGCCTAGCGACGCCCATGCCGCCACCCTTTCACCACCCCCTCAAACAAAAATAGCATGCTCGATTCTCATGAGAGATCTGGCAACACAGTAGGAGCTGCAGCGGACAGCAGACAGAGCGGGTTTAGAAAGTTAAAAGCTTTTTGCCCTTTATCTACACAGGTAAGTGTAATGCAATTAAACTATCTGTTTGTATCAGTACACGAATAGGACTATATCTGAGTCATACGGGTTTTTTTAATTAAATAAATTGCCCATGAAGATTCATTTCCGTGTTCTTATAAAACGTCGCCAGTTAGCTTTAAATGTTAAACAATGTTAGCCAGCTGCCAAACCAAAACATTTAACCGCAGTGTTTACAGTTATGGTTTATGTTATTTTTTATAATTTTAAGTAGAATTTATTTATTTTTTACTAAAGTCGTGAGGTGTTGTTAGCTACCCGTACATCTGTTTAGCAGCTGGCTGGCTGGCTGGTGTGTCTCAACGAACACCTCATTTTACTTTCTCTGTGGTTCAACACTGTAGTTCAATTTAAGTTCATTAATTGAAATCACAACCATACTTAATGTGATATTTCATATATGTATATTTATTATCAGGCGTGTTTTGATTCTAGGCTCGGCACATTTATTTAAACCGCTAACGTTACATGACTGCTACCGTCATATTGTAGTAAATGAATGTGTTATTGTGTTTATGTCTTATGTACGTTAGTACAATCAGAGATTGGAAGTTTGCCTGATCTACATTACATTGTGTAACCTGCTGAGAATGAATTATAACTGCAGATATTGTCTGTAGGTGTTGTCATGAGTGCTCCAACCCCTTTGTGAGGCTGTTGAACATCAAGTCCATGCTTATTGACAATAATTATGCAACCCATGGATTTAAATCTGCAGTCCTGTAATTGGACGCTTTTTAATATCCGTGAATGGATTAGCAGATGTTTTGTTCCGAGCATATAAGACATATAAGAAGAATAGTTCTTAAAATTTCACTTGCCAAGCAAGCTATTCCAGTTCAGTCTAAATTTATTTAAAAGTGATCAAGCATTATTTTTTATTTTTTTGGTAATGATACTGTACAAGTGGAACTAGGAGTGTTCCTTGTATTTATTTTTGTAATTGTTTCCAGATCTGACACATGGAAATGTCCTCTTTCTCCATCTGTGACATTCACTCTGACATTTGCCATTTCCACAAGTAGACAGCCTGTGTTAGCAATCAGTGGACTGATAAACAAAGTTATTTTGATATGGGAAAGCAGCTGGCACAACATTTTCCATAGTTGTAACATAATATGTGCCATAAGGAAGTTCAATAACTTCATTCAATTCTTGTAATTTGAGATGTGTTAATCTGATGGCAAGTCATTCCTCTGCTCTGCTAAAAGACTTTAGTGTCTGTGATTTAAGGAAAAGTAAGTAAGTCAGAGCTGTTTGACATGGTGTGAAAATTTACTCAACCTCAGGTCATCCAAGATATAGATGAGTTTGTGTCCTCATCGGAACAAATTTGGTGAAATTTGGCTATACATCACTTGCTCACCAATGGATCCTCTGCAGTGAATTGGTGCCGTCAGAAATAGAAAAACAGTTCTAAACAAATTAGTTTTAGTGTAAGAGGACAACAGGGGATTGATTTTCACTGGAGGATGCACAATTATGGATTACGGACTGGTATGTTGCTGGAAGTGACAGTTTAAAGTTAAAACACCTTCATGATGGATTATTATCTTATAGAAATTCAGCTTTTCACTTCACAAGTTGTTAACTGATGGACTGGAGTCGTGTGGATTGCTTGTGGATTATTGTGATAATTTTATCAGCTGTTTCTCATTCTGACGGCACCCATTCACTGCAGAGGATTGGTGAGCAAGTGATGTAATACTAAATCTCTCCAAATCTGTTCTGATGAAGAGACAAACTCATCTACATCTTAGATGGCTTGAGGATGAATATATTTTCAGTAAATTTTCATTTTTGGGTGAACTATTCCTTTAAAGTTTAATTGAAATGAAAAATACCCTTTTTAAATGCATGTTATTGATTTTATTATGAATGATTCATTCTTGCATATGATTTGTTTTTATTTATACATTTTTTTGACCTTGTAACATTTAATCAAAATGTCATAGCTGGATCTTCCTACAGATTTCTAGCTCTTGTGACATATACAGGACTTCTCCAGTCATTTAGTCCGCTTAAACGCCGCCCTTGCAAGCTCATGTTCATCTGCCTCCATTTTTGAGTGCAACGCCCACATCTCAAAATCCAATCAACAACTGATGCATAGAACCAATGCCTACATTTTTTCCCCCCAATAATCCATTAAACTCTGATGTACAATACAGAAGAAACGATCTGTCGCTACTTCTGTTTTGGCACATATTTTTAATGTTCATGCTTAGTTCTTGTTTAGTTTATTTGGGCCCTTACTAAACTATGTTTGGAGCACCTCCCCAAACAAAAGCTCGACTGTCTCTAAACACAGCCCAAAGATAGCACACATCTGGTTTAACCAGGGTTCCTAGTTTAGGATGACAGCACACATCAAAGCAACAGTGTCTCATTCATCACATTAGGGTGGTGTCCAACAGCAGACCCGGTGATAGACAAGGCAGTGCTCGTAAAAAGGGGGTGGAAGTTGAGGTTGGAGGGGCATGCATGGAGATTTGCATTTCATTGCTTAACCGATACACTTCCCCAATGTCTGTGTCTGACTTTCTGTTCACTTTCTGAGTTTCTGTTCGTGTCACCTGGAGAGAAACGGTATCATGGAAGATATCTGAAATGGAATGTATTTCAGGCAATTTGGGAATACAAGATTTAATAGTGTTTCGCTGTGATTTTACACTACAGGAAGCCCACTCTTTACAAAATGGGGGTGAAAGATCGCCCTCAGTGCTATTTTGATGTGGAGATCAACAGAGAACCAGGTAAGATGTGACAGTGATTTTTATTTGGTTGTTCTGAAATACTCTTGTGTGAAGGTCAAACAGTTTAAAGTACTAAAGTAAAGTTTTGATAGAGAAAGGCTTAAAATGTTTGCTTTTAGATTACCATTCATATGTTTGGCATTCTATGGTTTTCAAAATCACTTTTCCAACTACAAAAATCATGTTTAGTTCTCAACACCAGTGTTGCAAAAAGTAACCTATTAATGGGGTTCAGAGTTGTGTGATCTTTATCATAGCATATGGTATAATTTGAAAGTATGAAGTTTTTATAAAAGATAAATCGTTAAACCAGTTAGTAATAAGCATTTAATACCAAAAGTGCAACATTATATGTGTATGTTTTGTAAAGTACTTGGATAATGGCAGTTAATATACCTGTGCCAGTGTGTGAGGAACTGTTGTGGCAGTCCACACCCTGACCTGCAGGGCTCTTTTAATGAACCACAATTGTAGTGTGCACCAAATGACGTCTGGGTTTCAACTCAGTCTACCACTAATTATGTGTTTTAAGAGAGATGTCTGTGTCATAAAACCAAAACCTCTTATTTAGTGATTTTACATCCATTACTTTACAAAGCAAATGTTTTAACACCCTGCATATATTCATTTTATTGCTTATAAATGAAATGGATAACCCTGGCTTTATGTACTATTTAAAAACACACTTAAATTTGAATGCTCTTGTATTTGAATATGAAAGAGATGTTTTGGTTTGCCACACTGAAGTCAACCTGAATGTTATAGCCTATAAGTTGAATTGCAGCAGTCACACTAATCTAATAATGGTTTTCTTTAAGCGAGCTTAAATCTTATACACAAAACATACAGGTGCTGGCTTTAGGTACTATGCAAAAGCACACCTAAATTTGAATGCTTTTGTATTTGAATATGAAGAAGATGTTTTGGTTTGCCACACCTGTCAACCTGTGAAGTCAACCTGAAAGTTATAGTCTATATAAGTTGAAATGCTATAGTCACACTAATCTAATAATGGCTTTTTATCCTTAAGCTTAAAACACAAAACATACAGGTGTAAGATTTCTGATCCACAAGTATAATGATTTCTTTTGCTTTCTTCCAGTTGGACGAATTGTCTGTCAATTGTTCTCCGATGTTTGTCCCAAGACAAGCAAAAATTTTCTTTGCCTGTGCACTGGTGCGTATACTTGACATGAGGTGTTTTATCATGCTAGACTTTGACTTTAAACCTGTAAAGAACTGCTTTGACCAATATTCTCTTAGGTAATTATATTATTTCACAAACACACTCAAATTTTTTACAGAGTCAACCTTGAACCCATTTTAGAGGTTTTATCTAAAATAAACTATAAAAACCTAATATAGGTTTTTAAATAGCTATTTCAACATGTTAATCACAATGATAATAGCCAAGGAAGCATTAAAACACCAACCAACTAACTAACCTTTATATAATATCCATTCATATCCTCTTATACAAGCATAAGCTTATAGGGCAATAGCACAAAAATAAACCTGGAGGTGACTAAATCCTGGCTGTGTAACGACAAGTGAAGGTGTTTAGCTGACAGCACTGAAGAATGAACCAAAGCTGTATTTACAGCCTGTTCCTAGAAGACAGAAGCCGCATTAGTCTGCATTGAGAAGGTTTGGTCATAAATTACAGTTAGTAAGGCTTGTGGTCAATACAGGGATCTTTTTTCTCACCAGCTGAGATTGAAATAAGAGACACATGCCTTCAGCTGACTGTTATATCGCATATATATACCAATCCCCAGGGCACCCACACCCACCCGTATTCATTTCAGTTTTATTGGCATCTCTTCCATGCTGATCAGATAGGATTAACCTTTTGCTGTCTGTGTAACTGTATACTTAAGGACTGAGTCCAGTAGTTTAATTCAGAGTACAATACATTGATTCATTAAGTTTATCCACATTTCTAAGAGCTTGTGAAATCTTTTTTTTTTTTTGGTTTGGTTACATACTGGTTCCCTTTCAGTCGGTCACTCCCGACGTCACGTCGGCTGACCGACGAAATTGGGATCTCGCTTAGAGAGACCAATCCACTTCGAGTGTGAGTGACCGACTGAAAGGGAACGTCTCGGTTACGTATGTAACCCTCGTTCCCTGAAGGAAGCGAGGGGAAGCGAGATCCCAATTTCGTCGGTCAGCCGACGTGACGTCTCCGTTCCCTCCTTCAGGGAACGAGGGTTACATACGTAACCGAGACGTTCCGTTATATTCAAGTAATCAAAAACAGTGTGTTTCTTTGGTTTGCTTGCAGGCGAGAAAGGCAGTGGCAAAACTACAGGAAAACATTTATGCTATAAAGGCTCAACTTTCCATCGAGTGGTAAAGAACTTCATGATCCAGGGGGGTGATTTCACTGAAGGTATGTGCAGTTATATTCATTGATCTGGATATATGGAGATAGAAATATCTGTGGTGCCTTAGCATAAGAGTTTATGCCTTTACTGTTTATATTCAATTGCCTGTTCTTGTGAGTGAATGTGCTTTTGTTTGCTTAGGCAATGGAAGAGGAGGGGAGTCTATATATGGTGGTTTCTTTGAAGGTAAGCCATTTTAGGTACAGTCTGTTCTTTATCAAGCACTCAGTAACCTTAATTTGAGTGTTTTAACAACTTTTGCATGCCTTTTGAATGGGCATCTCAGTTCTGTGCATGAATTACCAGTCATTGTTTTTATCACGCCGTAGCTGCGAATCTTGATTCTGTTTTATTCCTGTGATCTTATGATGATCTTCTTTTTTGAGTCAGCATGGAGAATAAGGGCTGTTTATTTATTTAAAGGTCCAGTCTTCTTGCCTAAAATTTTCAACATATTCTTTTATTTATAGAGATTGTGGTCTATTGCAAAATGAGAAGGTAAGAGATGTACACAGTGCAGTAACACAATGTAGACTAAACATTCCCCAATCCCTTATGTAAACCATGACAAAAAATGTCCACGCTGCACAGTGTGCTCATGGATATGTGGACCGTGAAATTGATTTGGTTAACTGACTTCTCTGATGTTTGAATTTGATTCTTTCTTAATTTTTCCAGGATGGGTTGTCATAAAATACAATACTCTTGAACGTAATCCAACCTTTAAAAGGATTAGTTCAACCAAAAAGGTCATTTATTCATCTCTCATGTCATTCCAAACCTACATGCCTTACTTTCTTTAGTAGAACAAAAAAAGGAAATTTAAATAATGTGTTTCCAAGCAATTGTAATTAACTTTTAAAATACTTCTTTATAAAACATTTTTGCATCTTTTTTGAAGCTTCAAAACTCTAGCAGTTGCATGGAAAAGGGCTGTATTTGATGACCAATTTTTCCTTTTGTGTTCCACAGAAAAAAGTTTTGGTTGGAATGACATGAGAATGAAAAATTAATGGCAGAATTTTCAGTTTTGGGTGAACTGTTACTTTTTCAAAATAATTCAGCGCAACTTGGCAAAAGGTTTTGATGTAAACAGTAGTTGTTTTAGTAGAAAATCTCTCAATTTTATTCTAAAGAGCACGAGAAACACTCAAGAGTACAGAAGCAGCATAGAAGCATCACTGATATCAGGTGTTCATGAACATCTCTTTGCCTGCTCCTGTCCTTCTCCTTAACACAACTTTTTGAAGCAGATGACAAGCTCTCAGTGTACTTTTTTTGTCGGTTTCTCTCTCTTCAACAGACGAGAACTTTACTCTCAAACATGATAGAGCCTTCCTCTTGTCGATGGCCAACCGTGGCAAAGACACGAATGGGTCCCAGTTCTTCATGTAAGTACTATTTGACTTACTACTCTGATATAAGACACAGAGAGGGTGTATGAGTGCATAGAAATAACCATTCATCATTCTTCTGCTTACCATTTAATCTGACTGGCTGGTCATTATTAAATGACACATGCAATACGGTTAGATTATGTATTCCCCCAGTGTTCAGATCATTTCTACAGAACTATTTTGCTTCAGTCATAGCCTTTATAATGATGTGCATTTGAAAGCCTGTATCTGTTTTAAGAGATTGGCCAAAAGCACAAAGAGCATCTAGGCTTTTAACTTTGACCCAGGTGTTATACTTGCTTATATACTGACTCATACTTATGTCAATCCCAATTCGTTGACACATCAATACAATTTTTAAAGACCACTAGTGATTTTCAGTAGAAAAGCAAGATGGTAAAGAAGGAACATTTTATTTGTTCTGTCTACTTTTTTTATTGATTTAGTAAAACAATCATCTTAGTTTCCCCCTTTGCCGTTCACACTCTCTCTAACCTTCCCAGACTTCCTCAATCTCTTTACCACATATATATTTATTTTGGAAACTACATAGTCTACATGTTCGTGTGGGATGCAGGTGCATTTTCATTCTCCTTTTCTCTTGTCAATGTGCATTTAGAAATATTTTATAATCAGAAAGAATTCCTTTTTGCCTACAAATGTATTACAATTTTTCTCTTGCCGTTTTTGTGTAAAATTTGCAGAAACTCTAGCATCCTGCTCTACCAAGGTAAAGTGTCTCTCCAAGGCTGTGCTTCTCTCTCCTGACTGTGTATTTCTGGTTGCTTTTAGCTAGCACTGGCTTCTTATTTATCTTTAAATAATTTTCACCTCATAAAAAAATCTGTTCTCCCAGCACAGAGAACCTTGAAGTCTTTCAATTATTGACGTATTTCAAGTTTAAAATTACAGGATGTATTTTCTTGCAATGGACACACTGATTTCTAATTGAAGTTGTCCCTATAATATTTTTAAACAGGTTTAATTGGTTTTGTCAGCATAATGCTGACAGATGTTGGACCTGTTCCTGTTCATCATTAGAATTTATTCATCCAGCCAGTGTTATTGTGCAAGCACTGCTGGTTTTAAATTCCTCAGTGTTTGAATTGATGCATACAAATTTCTTCTTGAACTTCTTGACTAAATTTATTTCCCTTTATCTTTATCCCCCCACATGTCCTTGTTGGATGACCTGGACTCCATTATGTAATTTACCTGACAATAGAACTACTAAGACAGCGCCTCATCTAGATGGGTACGTTCACAATGATCCAATGGCTTTGTTTAACAATTTATATATGTTGCAAATCTGTTCAAACCATACCATAGGAGCAAATCATTTGAAAAAAAAAAAAGTTAATTTATTATTTATTTATTATAGGAGAATTTGGATGCAAGCTGTATCCTTAAATCCCACAATTTCTTGTAACTGTAAGGATTTTTGGTCTAATTTAGAGTGCATGTGGTCTTTGGGCTGGTCATCTCTGGCTTTGAGGTCATAAAGAAAATCGAAGGGCTGAAGACCGACTCAGCCAGCAGACCCTATGCTGACGTCAGAGTGATTGACTGCGGACAGCTGATTACAAAGTCTGCTAATGATGGTAAGCTTGTTCGTGAGTGCGAGATAAACTAGGAATTTTGGCTGCACACTTTCCGCCTGTCACTATGCTGTTTGAGCTTGTCTTTACCTAATGGAAAATATTTTTTAATCTCCACATCAGCTACATTATAGAGTGAAATATGGTTTAAAAATGGAACTGTGAAAGATCATAAAACAAAATGAGGGGTGCTTTGAAACACTGCAGACACCAATTTTAATACATACACTTACACTGTGTCCTAACCAGGCATGATGCTACGAAGCATCAAGTAACAATCGAGAGTTTTTTCCCTAACCACCCACAGCAAGTGATGTGCAACAAGACATTTTGCCTGTCACTTGATTTGTATTTTTATCATGTCATTCTGGGCAGTGCTACCCAAAGTGAAATCAAGCTGGTTCAAAATCCTTATTCTTATAGATGTATCTCAAATATAATATTTTACGATGTATTTTTCATTTTTTATTTGCAATATGATTGGTTTGGACATAGTATGTGCATCACAGTTTGCGTTCTTGTGCACTATTCTCTGCCAGTTTTTAGTATAAATAATGTGATTAGTGTGTTTCACACTGAAAATGCACTTCAAATGCCTGGATGATGCACTTAATTAACCAAAAAAAAAAAAAAAAAACCTTAATTAAGTGTGGAATGTTGGACAGTTCATGCACTTAACTGTCGCATCTTTAATTAGTTACTTGAGGTGGAGGGCCTATTAGACTGATGTTGGAGACTAGATAGTTAAATACATAGTGCAACTTATTCATTTATTCATTTGAGACACAACTAGTGTTGTTCATTATATGTTGTTTATTTTGTGCCGTGTACAGAAAGCTCCAGTTCAAAATAAATTCACATGGTCTGCACATTGATAATGTAGTCAGAAATAAAGAAAATGAATAAATTACATTATGTGGTGATGTTCAGAACATTTTCAGACTGATTGCAGTTTGATGTATATCTGTAGTTCTTCAAGGCAAAAGGAGGAAAGCTTTCCATTCTGAGGATGACTCTCAGAGTTCCTCTGAGTCTTCATCTCAGTATTCCTCCTCTAATCGAGAGTCTGAAAAAAATTATGCATCTCGAAAGAGGAAAAGAAACTCAAAGAGAAAAAGAAGAGAGACAGTTAAAACAGCAGGACATGAAAGGTAAATGATTGTAACCAGTTCCATTTCCTATTATGCACAGTGAAAGCATCTATTTGCATTTATTTGTTATTCAGCCAATGATCTAAAGCAATAACACGTTTGGTATTCGCCTATACTGACACTTTTCAGCTATATCACAGTTACAGTAAAAATAGTATACTGATAACCTTTTCAAATCCAAAGGAGTCACCAAGGAATAATTTAGAAATCTGAGCTGATTATGAATTAGTTTTGTTCATGCTTTTTTGTGGTTGGCCTTTGTTTTTAGTTGTGTAATAAAAATATACTGCCTACTCTTTTCCTGATTCATAGTCATGCTGAAGATGATGATGGTGAGACTGAGCAGAATGTGAAAAGGGAGAAGCCTGTGGTTCGACCAGAAGAGATCCCACCCGTGCCAGAAAACCGTTTCCTGCTCCGCAGAGACATGCCCCAGGAGGAGACAGTAAAAACGTTTGTATCTTTTGTACAATTCAACAAACAGATGCTTCTTTTTTCACTTAAACATCACAAGAGTCTTTCCTGTGCATCCCCAGTTATTAGATAACTGACATTTTCTAGGGTCAAATTTTAAAGTGTTACTACAGAACCAAAGCTATTCATATTTTAGTAACATTTGTCCCTGCTTAACAATTAATCCCTGAAATCCATGGCTCAGCTTTGATGGTGTATTTTAAACCAAAAGAGTTAAAGTCTTGAAACTTTTTCCCCCAATAGGGCTGTGCAGGACACAGTCGTGGCACCAAATGACACAAAACCAACTGTCACAAAATCTGGACGCAAGATCAAAGGCCGTGGTACTATGGTATGACAGCCGTGAATTACATTTATACCACATACAGAAAAAAAACAAGACACAGAGTGACATTGTATGAAGTACAGCAGACAAAATGCATTTTTACAAACCCCAAAATATATCAGCTGCTTTAATAATTATTATAATTATTTCATTCTAATTATTTGTTAGAACTTAGAAAGTGCTTGATGGAAATGTTAGTTTGATTGGTTGGCCATGCATGAAATGTTGTTGTTTTTTATTCCCTCTGCAGAGGTACCATACCCCCCCTCGGTCAAAGTCCCGATCAGAGTCAGAAGGGGAACGGGGGAGCAGTGAGACTCCTCCACACTGGAAAGAGGAAATGCAGAGGACCAAGGCTTACCAGCCCCCTAGTGTGGAGAGATGGAGTAAAGGAGAAAGGTATATCCTTACACCATTTGAAAACGGGGCAATGATCAGTGTGAAATTCAAAATGATTGAATTTGCCAAGCCAATATTGGTAGTTTATTTCTGGTTTATATTAAAAGGTTTATATTCTTTTGATTTGCTTTCAGAAATGTGTTTAAAGTTGTGAAAAAACATAGTTGGGACATAGAGTTTGATTTTGTAGTTTTAAATATTGTTCAAACAGATGGGATGACAGAAGTGACACCCCAAGGTCTAGGTCAAGATCAGAAGAGCGTTCCTTAAGTGAGGCTTCTGTATATTCCAGCCACCATCGATCTAGAAAAGAAAAAAAGAAAACCAAACGCAAGAAGAAAACGAAGAAACAAAAGAACTCAAAGAAGCATAAAAAGAACAAGACCAAGGAGATCTCCCAGTCTGAGGATGAGATGTCTGGGTCCTCAGGCAAGAGGTCAAAGCCCTCAAGCCGTGCTGAAAGGAGACATTCTCGATCACGCTCTCGTTCTTACTCTCGCTCATCGTCGCATCACTCCCACAGATCGTATCGATCGGAATCAGAAAGGAGACGTTACTTATCAAGCTCTTCTAGAGATTCACGATCTTATTCGAGGTCAAGGAGCAGATCCTATTCCAGAAGTCGCTCAAGGTCTGATAAGTGGGTTCGGTCATCCATGAGGTCAAGGCATAGTCGATCAGGGAGGTCTGTTACACATTCTAGGTCACTGTCTCGTTCTCGATCCAGATACAGGACAAGGTCAAGAACCAGATCAAACTCTAGGAGAAAAAGAAATGAGTTGAGATCCCCTCGGAAGTCAAAGCCTACAGAGGGTGGTATTTCCAAATTGGACAAGCCTGTCCCTAAATCAGTTCAAGGTGAAGAACCTAAAGCCCAACCAGCAGCATCTTCAGAGAGTGCTTCTGTGTTGCCTTTGAGTGACAGTCCACCTCCTTCTCGATGGAAACCAGGCCAAAAACCCTGGAAACCCTCTTATGTCCGCATTCAAGAAATCAAAGTAAAATCAGCCCCAGCTTCAAATGCACTAATCAGCCCATCATCAAATGTACCTCTGGAGACAGTGTCCTCTCTAAAGCCAGACACGGCTGTTAGTCAAAGCGACCCCAGCAGCAGTAACAATAATGTTTCTGATAGACTCCTGCAAAGCAGTTTGTCCAGGAGCAGGTCACCAAGTCGATCACAAAGTAGCAGTAAACCACAGAGTCAGTACGGCAGCAGATCTTCCTCCTGCAGTAGGTCAGAATCGTATGATTCATACAAAGGAAGATCCACTGAAAAAAAAAGAAAACATCGTAGATCTAACAGAAATAGCCAAAAGAGGGACAAGCATGCAAATCATGGTAGGGGCCATAAAGATTCATCTCCCTTCTCAGGGGACATATCAGATAATCCATACAGTGCTATCCACGGACACAATGACTCCTTGGTTCAGAGAAACACACTGAAAAGCACAAATCCCAGTCAAAGGAAAGAACCAGTAGTGGACAACAATAATGCATCTGGATGGGAAATTGAAGGAGAGAACTCAAGTAAGACTACTACTGCTGTGGAACACCACCAACTCCCTTTTAGGCAAGAAGGACTTACTGAAACGAAAAAGAGACAAATTTTGTATCATTGCTGGGAGTCTGAGAGTGACTCTGAAATGCCAGACAAAAAGGTAGTTAGTGATGCCAAACATGTGTCTGAAAAAGAGGAGGGAGAGGCTAGTTCAGAATCAGAGTATGAATACCCTTTATGGTCCTCTAACAAGTCAAACCAAGGTGCAGAACTGTCTAATGAATTAAAAGGTAATGAGGAACTGTCTGCAGACATAAAAACTTCAAAGAACAAGAGCAAGAAAGCCAAGCGGAAGCACAAGCACAAGAGGGGGAACTCTTGCAGGTCAGGATCTCGCAGATCCAAGGCCAAGAAATCAAAGAAGCACCAAAAGCCGAAGGAGACATTTCACTGGCAGCCTCCACTGGAGTTTGGTGATGAAGGTGAGGAGGAGGATTATGTCACACAAGCAAAACATTTTCACATAGAAAATCCTGATGCTGTCAATGATGGAGCAAAAAGGCGTATAAAAGCTGAAAAGATCAAGCACCAAGTCTCAGAAAATAAGGATGGGGATCAAGGAATTCTTGAATCATCACAAGATACGTTTTCAATAGAGTCTTCTAAAGGTATTGATAAGAATGGGAAGGTGACTGAAAGCCAAAAATCAAAGCTAAATAGCAATACCGAAAGAAGTCCAGCTCAAAGCCATCTAGAGAGCCATACCAATCTTTCAGACACTAACTTGGCAAGTAACAAACCAATATACCTAAATAAAGTTGACATATGTCCTCCAGAGCGCATCCCAGAAGCTAAGCAAGCAGGTCCAAAAACGATAGGCTTTTCCCCTCTAAAAAGTATTCGAAATGATGGTAGTGCGCTTGTTCCACCGCAAATAGAAAAAGGAAACTCTGTAACTACTGGATCTGTTTTACCTCAAGGCAGTCAGCCAGAGGAATCTGTACCTGGTGACAGTTATTTCTCAGCAGTTGAAAATAAATGGAAACCTTTGACAGGCATGACTGTTGCGCAGGCCATTACTACAAAACCTTTGATTATGAAAATAAATAAGCAGCAAGATCAACTGGAGGGAAAGGCCCAGGGTCTCAAGATTGAGATCAAGAGCAAGAGCAGAGTCCGTCCAGGATCCTTATTTGATGAGGTACGAAAGACAGCTCGGTTAAATCAGAGACCCAGAAATCAAGACAGCTCAAGTGAAGAAGACTCTCTTCCAGCAACAGGAGAAAGGGCTGGATCCCATAATCACTCTCGGAACAAGTCAAGGTCTGTGTCCAGCCACAGGACCCACCACAGAAGTAGGTCCCATTCATATAGCCAGTCCAGAAGCTACACCTACTCTTCCAGGTTGGTTACAACAGACAATGTTTTATGTCTTCGTATGTCCAATCTTTCATGTCAAGTTCATTTTGTATGTTTTAATTGTTCACACAGGAGCTACAGTAGAAGTAGAAGCAGGAGTAGATACAGCAGAGGACACTCCCGTTCTCGAAGTAGCACCTACCGAAGTTACCGTAGGTAAGTGTTGAAAGATATTTATCTTTGATGTGTGTGTTATGGGGATTAAAATGTTTTTAATTAAGATGCCACGGTGATCTTGTTTTAGCCACACAGACCGTAGAAGTCGTTCTAGAAGTCGGTACAGAGGTCACCACAGATCAAGGTGAGCATGGAGCCAAAATTATTCATGCATTTTGACTGCAACCTAGTGTCGCTTTATTATTCTTAATTATGTCTTTTGTTCCTGGAAATACAGGTCTGACTCTTACGATAGTTCTTCTAGCCGTAGCAGGAGAAGAGGGCATCGAAGAAGTGAGAGCTCTGACCGCATGTCCAGGTACATCATAAATAAATCCATGTATTATTGAAACTGTCTTGTTTGAATTTGATAATGTGCCTCACTGAAGCTAATTCTTTGATGTGTGTCTTCACGCTCAGGTCATATCGCTCCTACAGTCGCAGTTCCTCCAGGAGGCGAAGTCATAGCCGAAGCAGTCGATACAGCTGAGCTGATTTTAAGAAGATGTAGCATTAAGTCTCCTCCTCCTCCTCCTCCTCCTCCTCCATATGGTTTTCTGAACGAATGGCTCCGTTTAAGTTTGGTGAAGTATGTACTTTGATGTACACTGTATAATCATTTAATGTGTAATTCACACATTCTGCTGTATTTTTCCAAATGTGTCTATGTATGAATGTACATTTGAAACAAAATTAGTCACTTCTTTATTCTAGTACACTTTTTTTTTTTTAGTATCCCTAAGAAAAGGAGCATAGAAACCCTCCAGCTGTAAAGCCAAGGTTATATATCAACAGCCACTTACCTCAGTCCTTTGAAGATAAAAATCTGTGAAATGTAAGTCATGTTTTGACGTGACACACAGTTGTATTAAACAAATCAATGGTAGACATGGATGGGAAATGTTTAGTTTTGGCCAAATGAATGTGTTGTGTTTAAAAGGTTGCCCTCTGCATTTTTTTTATTTGTCCATAAAAACAAAAAATCTTACTGAATGTATCTAGTGCTGCTTATTGATACACCATTTAAATATAGCAAACGAATCTTGCCAACTGGAAATAAATCTACATTTTTTTGTGAAATCCTATAAGTGTGCTGTATAATGTGTATTCTGTGAAATGTGTTCTTGTAGCAACACCTACTTCACGTTTCAGTGACTCCTCCAAATATACACATAGTTGAGTGAGATGCATTAGAATGTGGATAAAAGTTTTTGTAAGTCCATCTCAAGCATGTTTCTAAGTATTGTCCACTACAAGCATGTCTGCTTTTTGATTTTGTCCTTTGCTATACAGGTACTGGTGGGGATACTGTACATCCAAAATTGCTGGGGTACACCAGGATCAGAATTGACAACCACTGCACTGATACTACTGCATCCAAATGTACTGTCAGAGTATGAACTGAATTTTCTGATGAAGAATTCACTTTGGCTGTTGTTCTAAATTGTTCTTTAGTATAAACTGTATACATTTCTAGATGTACTACACATACTAACAATCATAAAAGTACAGTTTAACCACAAAGAGCAATTTTATTGGTACCTAAAGTACTGAAACGAGCTCAGATCACATTTCTCAATTTTTTTAAACTACTTTTCTTTTTAACATTTCACATCTGACAGTTCCTTCACTCCTGTGGCCTTATGGGATAGTGTTTACTGTTTGCTCACTTAAAGGGTTAGTTCACCCAAAAATGAAAATTCTGTCATTAATTACTTACCCTCATGTCGTTTCAAACCCGTAAGACCTTCGTTCATCTTTGGAACACAAATTACGTCCGCTGGATGTACGTCCGCTGTGTCAGCTGCATCACACGGATACGCTGTTTTCGTTCAGATCAAATCGCAACAACGTAGGAAACCGATCTGGCGTGACGCAGCTGACACAGAACAGCATACGTTGTTTACGTCCAGCTGATACTCTCCAAAATGGTGCTACAGGGTGATGCGGAGGAGACAAATTGTTGAATAAAGTTTTATTTATCATTTGCGCACAAAAAGTATTCTCGTAGCTTTGTAAAATTACGGTTGAATCCCTGATGTCACATGGATTATTTTATCGATGTCCTTGCTACGTTTCTGGACCTTGATTGTGTAAAGATCCTTGCTGTCTATGAGAGGGTCAGAGGGCTCTCAGACTATCAAAAATATCTTCATTTGTGTTCCGAAGATGAATGGAGGTCTTACGGGTTTGGAACAACATGTCCAAAATGGCGCTACAGGGTGATGCGGAGGAGACAAATTGTTGAATAAAGTTTTATTTTTTTTTTTTTCTTTTGCGCACAAAAATTTTCTTTTTTTTTTTCAAACAAAACAAAAATTCTTCTTACGGGTTTGAAACGACATGAGGGTGCGTAATTAATGACAGAATTTTCATTTTTGGGTGAACTATCCCTTTAAGAATCTCAGCAGGTGCAGTATGTCGTCTGGGTTTAGTTTACCTACTGTTTCACAAACACTGTATATCCAGACATCCTACTTGCTGTTTAGTTAAAAAAAAAAGTATGCATATGTGACCCTGGACCACAAAACCAGTCTTAAGTCGCTGGGGGATATTTGTAGCAATAGCAAAAAATACATTGTATGGGTCCAAATGATAGATTTTTCTTTTATGCCAAAAATCATTAGGACATTAAGTAAAGATCATGTTCCATGAAGATATTTAGTAAATTTCCTACTGTAAATATATCAAAACTTAATTTTTGATCAGTAATATGCATTGCTAAGAACTTCATTTGGACAACTTTAAAGGTGATTTTCTCAATATTTAGATTTTTTTGCACCCTCAGATTCCAGAATTTCAAATAGTTGTATCTCGGCCAAATGTGGTCCTATCCTAACAAACCATACATCAATGGAAAGCTTATTTATTCAGCTTGCAGATGATGTATACATCTCAATTTCGAAAAATTGACCATTATGACTAGTTTTGTGGTCCAGGGTCACAAATTTGAACACACAGGATATAATTGCTCTGGTTGCCTGCTGTTTCAGGATTCAGCATGCTCTCATGCACACAGTGAGATACTGTCAAACATGCAAGGTCTTAAGCACCTGGGAGACAAATGCTCCATGTCCCCATAAGGGCAGATCGTACTGATTACACATTTTTAGCAGTAGATGTAGACTACAGCTCGGACAGGAAAAAAATTATCCAGTGCAATGGCCCTTTAAAACTTCTGACAAAAGCCCATATGATCCCGAGCTCCAATCACCAATTCCTACTGCAAAAGCAGCCTCTGCATTTTTGTCTGTCTGAATGCTGCTAGCACGGCGGAAAAAAACAGTGAGGGGAAGGAAAACTGAAGAAATGTAAAAATCCAACGTACTATTACATGGCAAGCGGAAGTCCTGCGCAAATGGAGTTAATCGCGGACTCCTTCGATGCTAGAGACCCCGGATCAAAATGGTACAGTAGACAACGACATTTTGATAATTTTATATCCATATTTTATTTCTTGTAATTTTAAACGACTTAGCTAGGCCGATTAAACTTGCAATAGTTTGTCCCGGGATGTGTCTGAGTTTTGAATGTGTTAGATATCGTTATGTCGCCAATAAATTAGACCGCGAAATGAAGTTTGCAACTTGCACAGAACGCCGACAGCCACAGAAATTGGAAGGTTAACAAGAATGCAACGGCCACAATAGCTACATTGTTGCATTTAAAGAGTTAAATTCTCTCATATCAGTGTGGAGGATCACGTCGTGACTGGTGCTTTTTGTGGACATTGATGCATGCAAAATTAAATTAACATTTTTTTTTTTTTTATTCCAAATATACTTTTGAAATCAGAGACTTTGTTGCACGGGACGAGACCGAATTCATGTCGCAACACTGTTAACTTCACATCATGACCTCAAACAATTTGTGCATCCTCCATCCATAGAGTTCATATTTCAGTTGTGCAATAACTGTGAGTCTCCAAATACATGCTGAAGGTGCTACACATTTTTTTTTTAGAGATAAAGGAGCTTAGAAACATTATAGTTTAAATACCATTTAAAGTAGTTTATGATTAGATTTTTAAAAAATCAAAATTTTGCTACTCCTAGATACAATTTGACGTAGTCTAGAACAAACATAAGTTATTTCCAGAACTGGACATTTTTTACATCATTGAAATGGAGAAGAAAAAAAATTAAGTTATGAGTCATAATGAATCCGTTTTCTTTATTTCAGTGTTTCCTTGACTACCTCTGTAAAACAATTTTTACAAATCCTTATCCATTAAAACATAACAATCATATATAAAGGAATAAAATAGTAAAATAAGAAAAGAATGATAAATGAGATGTCTTACAAACAGATTTTTTCTTAATCAGAATTCGTTTTTGTTTTTTTTGTATTGAGTATTTTAATATTTTATATTCTTAATAAACTGAGGGAGAGCATCAGAGAGGTTGCGGGGATGAAAGCACAGCAGTGTTGATTTTAGGAATGCTCATTAAAAATAGAGCATGTTTATTGTAGTACAGTGGTGCTGTAATCCAGAGGCCTCTTCACATCTGGAAGCCGGGTTAATATTTGGGTCAGGTCACTACTTTAGTGTCACGACCCTGTCTTTTTGACCTCCAGTTGCTCGCTTGACTTTTTTCACATGACCCTTAAAAACTGTTGTTATTTTTTATTTTTTATTTTTTATACAGTGCATTTCCTCTTTGGCTGTAGTAGACAAAAAATTAAGTTTAATATGCATTGTCTATTGTTGGTTGGCATGTGAAATGAGTCAGAACCCTACGAACTCCTTTACGCCTCCATTAATGCATTGTTTATGAGAATATAATCAATTTTAGACAATCACCACCAGAATATCACTTGATGATAACATTAACCAGTTTAATTTCCAAAACACTGTAATAACAGAAAAGGAGCTGTACTTCTTCAGCTGCATCTATTGCACTTGGTGACTAGTTCCCATTGCTAGTTAAGCATTGGTGGTAAAAGCACCAAGGTCATCATGGGTTTTAGATGTATACTGAAAAAGCATAAGATAAATGAATAAATGCATCGAATGCACTCTAGAATGAATTGTTGCATGATGATTTCCTAACGTGAACATACATGAATTGGCCCTTTGTTAACTGTTCCTCATGAAAGCGCTATGAAAATATGTATTTTAGGAAGAACTGAAATAGAACGACTCCTGCTAAACTCTGCAGTCTTGTCCTTTAGTGCTGCGACCTGGAAAAAAGCATCATGCTGAGGGTTTTTATGTAACCATCTATTCAGGACATTCCTGCCCACCCTTGTCTTTGAGGCTTCGTTGTCTCTCTCTGTTGGGGTAACTTAAATCCACGTGGCAAGTGCTCCTCAAACGGCTCCCAGCATTCAACTCAAGCCATGTTCTTATTATTATGGACGTTGAAAAAAGTTGCGCTGCTTAAAGAGACAGTTCACCCCAACATTACAATACTGTAATCATTTACTCACCCTCAAGTTGTTCCAAACCTGTATGAGTTTCTTTCTTCTGTTGAACACAAAAGAAGATATTTTGAAGAATGTTGATAACCAAACAGTTGATGGTAGCCATTGACTTCCATAGTATGGGAAAAAATATTATGGAAGTCAATGGCTACCAGCAACTGTTCGGTAACCAACATTGTTCAAAATATCTTCTTTTGTGTAATTTTATTTATTTTCGCTGAATCTTTACAATTTTACTCTTTATCAACACACATTTCCTTCCTTCTCCTTTTTGGTTATGGGAAAGAGAAGACATTTATTTCCCTATTTCACAGTTGTCTTTCTCCAAGTGTCCATGTTGTCAGGTTCAGTTCCTCACATTGCTGCATACTTAGGCCAGAGTCTGTACATGGAGAGGAGTTGGCCCACGAGCAGAGTTAGCAGATCTGTGGCAGTTTGTGTTTGTGCTTTATGTGGCAGAGACATGCCAACTCCACAGGCTCTTCTCTTGGCCAGAAGTCCTGACTCGGCTCCTTCTCACATAGCTCAGGCTGAATTCTCCTGGCAGTCCTGCTCTGGACATGGTAACATAGCAGATCACAGTCTACAACCTTGATTATTCAGTTCCTGCATTGGATAAGCTTAAAGGGTTAGTTCACCCAAAAATGAAAATTAGTCCATAACAGAAGGCCTTTGTTCACCCCCCGGAGCCGTGTGAGACACTTTTTTTATGGATGGGTGCATATTATTTAACTGCTTTTGGACTGATACATGCAACACCCGCTGAGTGCCACGAAACAGCTTGAAATATCAAAGACAATTTTTAATATAACTCCGACTGGATTTGTCTGAAAGAAGAAAGTCATATACACCTAGGATGACCTGAGGGTGAGTAATTTATGGGCTAATTTTCATTTTTGGGTGAACTAACCCTTTAAGTTCTGTTACAGCCACATTTTGTGCTTGCTCGGCTGTATGAGAGAAATGGGCGAATCGCAGGAAACCTGTCATGAACTTGTCAGGGTCATATTTCAGCGCTACATTGAAAGGAAGAGGATCAAATATTTGCATGATAAAATATTTGGATAAAACCACATTTCTTCCGCTAAAATTATTATCTTAATGAGAAGACATTTAACTTCTTTTTTTCTTAACTTCTTCTTCATTCATATTGTTCTCATTTATGACTCTATAATTATTGAAATACAGTATTTTTGTACTACAAATAGTAAATTGTTGTACAATACTTTTCAAAAAATTTGGGTCGGTAAGATTTTTTAAACATGTTTTTGTAGTCTCAAATCAAAAATACAGCAAATACAGTAATATTGTGAAATATTATTACAATTTAAAATACAGACTCGGTGTCACATGACCCTTCAGAAATCATTCTAATATGCTCATGTGGTAAGAAGCATTTCTTATTATTATCAGGGTTCTTTAATGAAAAGAAAATAGCAATCAATAAATAAATAAAATAAAACAGCATTTATTTGAAATAGAATCTTTTTAATATCATAAATGCCTCTCCTGTAATTTTTTTATCAATTTATTGTCTTCTCACTGAAAAAAAAAAATAAAAAAAATAAAAAATATATATATATATGTGTGTGTGTGTGTATATATATATAAATATATACAATATATAAAAATATATAATTTTTTTTTTTTTTTAATCATACTGATCCCAAACTTTCGAATGATAGTGTAATTTTATCAAATCAAAATTGAAGTCAAATTAAAGGCAGTACAACAAATATGGCCTCGGTGTATAAATCTTTTACTATTTAGATAATCATTTATGACATTATAATTATAAAATATATATATTTTTTAAATATATATTTAGGGTAAAATATGACTTTTGCACAGTTCTCATGAGATTCACCTAAGAAGTAAATTTCTCTCTCTCTCTCTTTCTTTTGAAAGATTAGGCCTCTGAGATTATAGTATTTTGCAAAGTTGTTTGCTGTTCCTTTTCATTGCGAATATAAATTTTCAATTTTCTCCCGGCGCTGTCAAGAGTGATCTCACACGGCTTTGTTTGTGCCGCCAAATGGTTCTGGCTGTGGATATACTGTCTCTTTTACGAGAACCTGATTTCTCTGACCTTGTCAAGCACACCTTTTATTATTAGACGCAGCAGACACATGAGAGGTAAAATCCTTTGTTTGTTTGTCTAGCTCAATTTCATGCCCTGCTTGGCACATAATATTTCAAACTGCGATTCTGTTGCTCTTGGTTGCATTAACATATAGATGGAAATGGGAAGTCTTCTAAATATATCTGCCTCAGTCGGCACAGGAAAAGTGCAATGAGTCGTAGACGTTCTCATGTGGTTTGTAATAAAATAAATGTTGTACATTGATGCTTGCAGTATCCAAAGGTTATGAGAGATACTTAATGCGTTAATGTTGCCATAAAAATGATTTTCATGTAAACTAGCACAGTCCTAGCGTAGTCTTCCAATTTTCAGATTTATTGATTGATTTCTTGTGAATTTTTTTTTATCTCTCAGCCGATGCCGATGAGGACTTCCCTGAGCAGCATTTGCTGGACGTACAGAAACTCTGCAGTAAACACCTGCTATCCTCCTTTGTTTTACTAAAACCATAGGAAAGGTGAGTGATTCTGGCTTTCTTTCCTCCTCAGAAAAGAGCTTTCACTGGCTTCCAATCCATTCTGCTGTTAATTAGCTGCTGAACCTGAAAACCAACTGACAGGGGAGCTCCATCCCTAATCACTTATTCTGATTGAACTTGGTAATTAGATGAAGGGATGGATGACACCCTCTATCGACAATATTTTCTAACCTAAGGGAAATGTTTATCTTTGTCTAATTAATTTGTGTTAGAGTCGGTTTTCCACTAAATTTTCACTATTTTTATTTTGTGTTTTGGTTTTCGGTTTCAGTTAAGGTTTAGTTCTTTTATATTTATTAGTATTTTTTGAAAAATTACTTTGTTTATAATTCATTCATTTTTTATTAGAACTTTTTATTTTTAGTGGTGTCTTCCAGAGCCCTTTTCCATGATTTATCTTTATGTACAAAAAGTGAATTGTGGTTGGTTGTCGAACATGTCAATCATACACCCCTTTCCTGTCTACCATTTATTTTGAATAACTGTTAGACAGGAATAACAGTTATTTTTAAATAAATACTTCTATTCAGCAAGGACATTCATTCAGTTTGATCAAAAGTGACCGACATTACAACAAACGCTTTGTTCACAATTTCCACAAAAATATTAAGCAGCTAAACTGTTTTCAACATTGAAAATAAAAAGTTTCTTGAACAGCAAATCAGCATATTAGAATGAACACATAAGATTGGAGTAATGATGCTGAAAATTCATCACAGGAATAAATTACATTTGAAAATATATTAAAATAAAAAACATTTTTTTAACATTTTAATAATATTTCACATTCTTACTGTTTTACTGCATTTTTAGAATAATTAGAAAAACATAAAAAGTTTTGCCCTCAAACGTTTAAACAGAATTGTCTGTGCAATAAAACATGTAATTCAGTAACGCCTAGACAAATAGTAATTATGCATATTTCTACAATAAAGTTTAGTTTTGAATACGTCTCACACTTCGATTTGAAATGCCTGACATTTGTGAATTCAGGAGGAAACCCTAAAAACAAATGTGACAAATGCAAACAGAAGTGAATTATGTTTCTCTTATGGAAATGTACTGCACCCTCTGTTCTGCCATTGCTTTGCCTGTATTTAAAGCTCACATTATTCACAAAGCACAAGACAGACAGCTGATCCAGGGAGCACCAAACAGCCCTGTTCAGTGAACTGGCATGTGTAATAGCAGGTGTTATAGTTCAGGAGGTTTTCTCAGTGAAAGTGATGCTGTGGTTTGTGACAGCTCTCTGACAGTGTGTAATTATCAACTGTGCTGGCTAGTCTGAATGGGTGAGAAGACTGTATCTGTATCTAAGAGACCTTAAAGAGATAGTTCAGCCTCATGTTGTTCCAGACTTGTGTTATTATCTTGCTTTCACTTTTTCTTTATGGAAAAGAGCAGCTCGGACATCATGCCTTTTGTGTTTCCCAGACATTATCTAGTGATACCGGTAAATAAGTAAATTAGTTTTTCAGATTTGGGTGAATTTTTACTTTAGTACCTGCAATGAAGATGATACTTTTTTAGCCTTTTATCATGATGATAAACTCTCTTTCTTTCTGTCTTTCTCTCTCTCACACACAGACCTGCTCATAGCTGATACATGTCTTGCTAATTTACAGCACAGACACAGACACACACACACACACACACACACACACACACACACACAGAGGCCGTAAGTCATTTTGGTTTCTCCGTGAGGGCTGTAAGTGTTTGTCTGTCTAGCTCAAGGTCAGGACTGAACGTGCATCCTGATTGGATCGGGGAGGGCGTAGGCATCGAGCAATACCACACACATACACAGACACCCAGGGCATCTGTTTCTCTGTCTCATTTTTTCGGCAGGGGAGCTCCATCCCTAATCACTTATTCTGATTGAACTTGGTAATTAGATGAAGGGATGGATGACACCCTCTATCGACAATATTTTCTAACCTAAGGGAAATGTTTATCTTTGTCTAATTAATTTGTGTTAGAGTCGGTTTTCCACTAAATTTTCACTATTTTTATTTTGTGTTTTGGTTTTCGGTTTCAGTTAAGGTTTAGTTCTTTTATATTTATTAGTATTTTTTGAAAAATTACTTTGTTTATAATTCATTCATTTTTTATTAGAACTTTTTATTTTTAGTGGTGTCTTCCAGAGCCCTTTTCCATGATTTATCTTTATGTACAAAAAGTGAATTGTGGTTGGTTGTCGAACATGTCAATCATACACCCCTTTCCTGTCTACCATTTATTTTGAATAACTGTTAGACAGGAATAACAGTTATTTTTAAATAAATACTTCTATTCAGCAAGGACATTCATTCAGTTTGATCAAAAGTGACCGACATTACAACAAACGCTTTGTTCACAATTTCCACAAAAATATTAAGCAGCTAAACTGTTTTCAACATTGAAAATAAAAAGTTTCTTGAACAGCAAATCAGCATATTAGAATGAACACATAAGATTGGAGTAATGATGCTGAAAATTCATCACAGGAATAAATTACATTTGAAAATATATTAAAATAAAAAACATTTTTTTAACATTTTAATAATATTTCACATTCTTACTGTTTTACTGCATTTTTAGAATAATTAGAAAAACATAAAAAGTTTTGCCCTCAAACGTTTAAACAGAATTGTCTGTGCAATAAAACATGTAATTCAGTAACGCCTAGACAAATAGTAATTATGCATATTTCTACAATAAAGTTTAGTTTTGAATACGTCTCACACTTCGATTTGAAATGCCTGACATTTGTGAATTCAGGAGGAAACCCTAAAAACAAATGTGACAAATGCAAACAGAAGTGAATTATGTTTCTCTTATGGAAATGTACTGCACCCTCTGTTCTGCCATTGCTTTGCCTGTATTTAAAGCTCACATTATTCACAAAGCACAAGACAGACAGCTGATCCAGGGAGCACCAAACAGCCCTGTTCAGTGAACTGGCATGTGTAATAGCAGGTGTTATAGTTCAGGAGGTTTTCTCAGTGAAAGTGATGCTGTGGTTTGTGACAGCTCTCTGACAGTGTGTAATTATCAACTGTGCTGGCTAGTCTGAATGGGTGAGAAGACTGTATCTGTATCTAAGAGACCTTAAAGAGATAGTTCAGCCTCATGTTGTTCCAGACTTGTGTTATTATCTTGCTTTCACTTTTTCTTTATGGAAAAGAGCAGCTCGGACATCATGCCTTTTGTGTTTCCCAGACATTATCTAGTGATACCGGTAAATAAGTAAATTAGTTTTTCAGATTTGGGTGAATTTTTACTTTAGTACCTGCAATGAAGATGATACTTTTTTAGCCTTTTATCATGATGATAAACTCTCTTTCTTTCTGTCTTTCTCTCTCTCACACACAGACCTGCTCATAGCTGATACATGTCTTGCTAATTTACAGCACAGACACAGACACACACACACACACACACACACACACACACACACAGAGGCCGTAAGTCATTTTGGTTTCTCCGTGAGGGCTGTAAGTGTTTGTCTGTCTAGCTCAAGGTCAGGACTGAACGTGCATCCTGATTGGATCGGGGAGGGCGTAGGCATCGAGCAATACCACACACATACACAGACACCCAGGGCATCTGTTTCTCTGTCTCATTTTTTCAGTCCTCTGAGAACAGCTCCATCACCTTGGAAAGTGGCTCTTCTGAGAGGGTGATTGGTACACAGGGGTTCAAAAGTAGAAAATCTGCTCTTGAGAGGAAAGAAAAACTCAATCTTCTATGTCTGGTCCCTTAAGGCTTTTCCTCCTCACAAATACACACAGTTTCTTTGTTCTCAGCGAAATGAACAAGCAATCCTGGCCTGTGGTCTGTTATTTCTTTGCTACGTCATGAGAATAATAGACCAGTGCAGAAGGGGCTGTCCATCTCTCTGTCTCTGTCTGTTTGCATAAAAAATATTTTTAAAAGTATCTATCTATCTATCTATCTGTCTATCTGTCTATCTGTCTGTCTATCTGTCTGTCTATCTGTCTGTCTGTCTGTCTGTCTATCTATCTGTCTATCTGTCTATCTGTCTCTGTCTGTCTGTCTGTCTGTCTGCATAATATATATGTAAAAAATATTTGTACAACTAAAAAGTAAGAGTAAAACAGTTAGAATAATAAATTCTCTCTATAAAATTTTGCTCTATACTGTATATTCTATATAAAAATATGTCTAATATAATCTGTTCTAATGTAAAATCCGTCTGTATGCATAATCTAAGTGTAATATATATATATATATAAAAAAGCAGGAAAAATAAATAAAACCATAATGGATTTTAAAAAGGTGATATTTTTGTCAGTGTTTATTTTATCTTTTTCTAGTCAATCTTGATGGCAGCAATAATATCCAAATTGAAAATCTTTGAATTATTTTGAAATTGTGTTGTTTTAAGCTTATTTTCTTAAGGACCTTCTGCTATTCATTTTTGTTACCCTCGTTCCAATACCAGATCCAGGCTTTCTTTAGTGCTCTATTGAATTGCAGGTCATTTCTAATTGTGCATATTGTCTTGGACAGAGGGACACCAGATGCCGAGTCATTGCTTGGCATCTGTGCATGATTGATGAGGAAACAGCGCCAGACAGCAGCGCCTCTGCATTTTACAGTGCTGTGAAACTTCCCTTCGAGCTGGCAGCACAGGAAGTGGAGGAATCCAGAGGGCAGGAGGACAGCGATTAGTCTCTCGTCTCTTTAATAGCGGCCTGATTAGATTCCCATGTTAATGCTTGTTTTTCATTAATACAGAGTGTGCAACAGCCTCAAAGTTTAGTTGAAGGTCAAAAAGTGTCACTATTCTGTGCCATGGATGCACAGTTGCTAAAGATGTGATCTGCTGGGAGGGTTAAAGAAATAGAAGAAAAATAAAATTGTGTCATGTAGTCAGTTATTATTGTGTATATCACAAAAGGAGATGTTTTGAAAGATGTTCACACTGCGCTTTTTTAATAAAACATAAAGTGGCCAAAAGCTCCAAAAAG